TAAGTAAGAAATACTGCTTAAGACTTCTCATTTTTTCTCAAAGAGTTTTTTTAGAGATAATCTTACAGTAATAAACTGATATTTTATAGACTCTATAACACTCTTCTTCTATTTTCTCTCAAAGAATTTTTTAGAAGTTTAATAAGACTACACAAGTGTAAAATTTCTGAAGCAGTTAATAAGAAAAGAAAGAAATATTTAAAATCAATAAAAAAGATTAATATTAATTAACTTATAGACTGCTGCTAATCTAATAAGACTGCAGCCTGCTGAAAAAGTAAAAAAAGAGAATTTCAGAGTCTACTCATTAATAATTACATTCTTATCAAACTCATTCTTCACTGTTAAAGTCTCTGATATTGATATCTTTATCTGCTGAGAAGTTAGCACTGCAGTACTGTAGAGAAGCATGCTGCAGAAGAGTATAAAAGATACTGAAAGTATCAACTTATTAACTTACAAAGTATCTCAGTTATCTGCTTTAACTGAAGTGAAATTCTCTTCAATCAGTGATTAATCTCTGCAGTGCTTTTAATAACAGTATCAGCTGATCTCTTCTTGAGATCAGTTATTCTGAGATGTTTTTTCATCTCAGAGATTCACACTTTTATCTTCTTTTATAGATAAGTAAGAGAAATCTTTTCAGTCTTGATAGAATCTGTCAATACTTAAAGCTCTGAGATTCTCACTTTATACTGCTTAAGTATCTAGACTTCTTATTAGAGCTGATATGATGTCTTTCTATGAGATAATACTTATAGAGAGATAGAAGTCATTGTTACAGATATAATGAAAATAACAGAAGTGAAAGAAGAGATAAATATATAAAATCCTTCTCTTCTTCAGCTGCTTGACATAGTATAGATAAGTAGCAGTGCTAGTCAGAGACTGCACTGAAGTCTTTTCACAGAGAGAAGATAAAGAAATCACAGAACTCTGTAGATCTAACTCAGTAGTATTCTGAGCAGAGCTTAGATATGCTATGAAAGAAGAACTATAGATTAAGCTTCTTAAAGCTGCTGTTCTCAGAATCAAGCTCTTTTCAGAGTTCTCTCTGAATGATCACACAGGGTCATATGTCACTATGCTGATTAAGAGAGAAGACAGTATCACAACAGTGATGAGAAGAGCAGGAAAAGAACTGAACATGAATGAATTAACTGGCAGAAGAAACAACACCTCACTGCAGGGCACAGTGACTACTGCCACAGCTGCAAGAGAAGCAGAAGAAGAAGATGTAATAATGAGAGCAGTGCTTCTGTGACTCAGTAATGCCACTGTCTTCACCTTCAACCTGGCTTTCTTGACAGTCATGAAGGCTGTGACTGCATCACAAAGATATTTGTTATTCACTAGAAAACATCAGAATAAGCCTCTTATTATCTTCTAAGAATGATGCTTCCATGCACTCACTATTACAGATGAGAAGGGGGAGAAAAATGTGTCATAGAGAGAAGAAATCTTTTTAAAAAATTCTATCACTACTGTTAGTTTTATCTCTAAAATACACTACTTTTGCAGAGAATTTCATATATAGAATAAAATATAATGAGAGATCTGCAAGTCACTTATTAACTACATTTTTTCATATTTTAAATCAATATATAAGAAACTCACTTATCATGTGTTTAATTTGAATAAAGATGAGAAAAGAAAGATTTATACAGTTAGTAGAAAAACTCATCTATTTCTTTATATTATATGCAGTATATATATTATCAATTGATTAGTAACTGTTGTTATATAACAAAGATAACTTCTAATTCAGTAATCTTAAGAGTATAGAGACTATACTCTTAAAGAGAAGAGCATTGTCATACTCTTAACTGTGTCAAGACTCTGCTGCAGTTTCACACAGCTTATCACTTTCATGTGAATAATTTCATTCTATCTGAACCAGTTTTCAATCACTCTATGACATCATTCAGATATATCATAGAAAGATCTGATTGATGAATATAAGAACCTCACTTCTATACAAGATCAGCAGATTACTCTTTCTTGATAATAAGGCACTGCTGAGATATCACTTCAGCTATTCTTGCTTATGAAATGAGAGAAGAGTATTCACTCATTATCTATATAGAATAGCTAGATGCTGACTCTTTATCAAAGAAGTCAGTGATTCATTTTTCTTCTACTGAAATATATATGAGAGTTACTGCATGTCTCATACAATCTTCTTAGTATACTAAGTATCATATCTGTGATATCCTTGCAATAACCTTGTAGCCTACAAGCTTGCTATTCAAGCAAGATAGTCAAGCCCACCCATACAGCTTCCCAAACAACTACCCCTACATGTCGCCGCCGACTAGCCGCCGCTTCGGTTTCACTATGTTACAGCATGTGAGGTCATGTTACAGTGTTTTTTGCACGGAAAAGTTGGTTTTTCTTTAATATATAGAGAGATAATAGTCACTAACATCAATGTGTATTCCAGCCGCCCCTCTTCCTTCCAGTGTTAACTGGTGGTGATTGAGCTCTTTTGTCCCAAGTAGCCAGTAACTTAGCTGACAACAGCACAGTAAAGTGACCCTCTGAGCTTTGAAGCTTGAAGCTTGAAGCTCTCTGATGATGATCCCATCCCAGCAACCATGACACGAACTTTATGATTACTCCTACTGCGAACTCTGTAGAGTAGGTAGATCTACAGACTATTCACAAAATCATCGATGATAATTAATAGTTGATTGTGAGCTCATGCTCAATTCCATCCCATCCGGCTCCCTCCTCATAACTCATCAGCTCGCAGCCGGCTGATCTCTATTTTATATTTCAATCACAACCATCGCGAGCCGAAGTTACATACATACATACATCCATCCATCCATCTGCGGTGGAAGTCAGAACGGTTTATACAGTACAATAAGCAATTCTTCGCGGGAGAATGGATTTAGAGCGGGGAAAACTGATAGTTATATATAAGGCAGGTGTCAAATATATAACTAGGACCATCCCAGACAACCTGCCAACCAGCCAAAGACTGTGTAGATGTAGATGTAGATGTAGATGTACTGTACAAAGGGAACCCCTGTGTCCTCCGTATATAAAGTTATTCATATTAACCCAACCCCCTATGAACTCCCGCCCCGCGCCGAGTACGACACTCTTCTGCAACCCACCCTCATCAGCCGCGACTTCTTGCCCCGCGCTTTTGCCAGCTATCAATCTCACGATAACGATAACGATATATATATACATATATATATGCTTTCTATTTGGGCTGGCCGGTGGTGAGTGGGCTCCTGGGGACTAATTCGAGCGCTTTTGCACTGGTGTACATGTACATGTACATGTATGGACCTGGGTATTTATATTTATAGAATGATAAAAAGGTGCCCAGGGGGGGCGTGGGGGAAAGTAGCGGAGCGGAACAGGGACAAAACAAACGGGAAATATATCAATAGCACATAACATACACAGCAATATGATTCCATCCATTCCTTTTTCCTTTTTACTTTTTCCTTTTCACATGCCATAAATCATTCAGCAAACACAAGAAAACCCATACACAGTTACTTATGCGCAATCCAATGCAACCACCAGACACACAAGGATTCAGCATTTACGGGTTCCGCAGTGATTAAAAGCGGAGGCAAGACAATTAGTGTTTATCGAAACCGAGCGGGCGGTGAGGAATGTGGCGATTTAATCAAGAGCAAACGCATGCGCCGGAGGTGGAAGGGGGAAATGAATATACACAAACGCAAACGCAAACGCAAACGCAAACAGATACTGTTGAGATTTGCTCGGGACATTTGGTTCTTGCCTAGGGTAGAGAGGACCCCGTTGCATATGTATGTAGATCGGGGAGATCGGGGAATCAAAGGGTTGGCGATAGGTAACTAATAAAACATGCAACAAACCTGGGGGAGAAGTATAGTAGAAAATAAAAAGAAAAGAAAAGAAGAAAGGGGGCGGATGGGGCGGATGGGGGAGACAGATATAAAACAAAGAGCAAAGGTGAAATGCTGCGTCATAAAATCAGCAATAGCAATAGGGGGATGCGTTATATGTATCTCACCCATCAGCTCTCTGCAGTCAATATAGGTCATTACTCTCCACAAGAGAGCAAACAACTCCTTAGCCCTTAACACCCCGACCCGCCCAGATAACATTTGCGCCATAACGATATCCGAACCTCCTGCTAACCCCTTCAAACACTTCCACTAGCACTCCTACTTCCACTCCCACCGTCACCTTCACTCCCACTCCCCATCCCACTCTCACTACTAGGCTCAAAGATACTAATCGGGCTCCCAAGCTTACTCAACCGCACCCTCTTCCGACGATTAGTAGCAGTACCATTATCCCCATCCGAGCCGCTCGCCATGATTCCCTCGCCGTCATCGTCATCATCGTCAAAGTCATCCACCCACTCAGCCGTACGGGTCTGCTTCTGTCTCCTGGTGAAACCCTGCCACGCATGTCTGTCCCCGCGGGTCGCTAGCCGATCCAAACCCAAACCCTGATTCATCACCCATGATACTGCGGTTTGGCTTCCGTTTCTGCGCCCGCGCCTGCGTTTGGGTTTGAGTTTGAGTCTCGGTCTGAGAATCTCCGCTGGGCTGCACCGGCTTTACTGAATCCAAGCTCGATCCGAGCGCCTTCCATGCACTCCGGATCTCATTCACTTCTGGAGTAGGGACCTTGCCGGTTGCATTGGTTGTTCCGCCAATCTTGCTTTTGCGGCGACGTTCTTCGTAACCGGGACTATGCCTTGCGGTTAGTTATTTCATTTTTAAACGCACCAAATGATATGCTGGGCTTTTTCTTTTCCTTTTTCTTTTTCTTTTTCTTTTTTTTTTTTTTTGGTGTTGGGGGGGGGGGTTGGATGTAGTACTAGCACTATATTACCTGCCAGGGGGAATCTCTTCGATAGATAAAACATCACTGGAAACACCCGATGAGAGTTCGACGCTACGGGCACGCTGGCCCACGCGCCTATTTTGATTATCTGGCAGGTTATACTAACAAACACAATGACGATATAGAAATTAGTGTGCCACTTGCCAGTCAACTGTACCGCAGCCACAGGAGAAGAATAAACATACATGGTGAGTTATTTTCGCGAGCGGGTTAAAGATCTCGTTCCGAAGCCTCTGCTTAACAGCAGTTTCTGTGGAGAGCGTGAACTTCGGAAGCCCCTTCTCTAGGAACCCTTTCGACTTAGATCCAGGGGTGGCGAGCAGAAATCCCTGCTTCCTCAACATATCCGTAATCTGGACAATTGTCTGGCCATTGCAATCTACGTAAAACGAAAGAATTTTCTTTTTTAGCATTGGACTTTTGTCAATGGGGGCTAGCAATAAATAATACATACTCAACTTCTGAGCAAAATCCCGAACTCGATTCGGGTAACCCTCTTCAATAATGACCCGAAGAGCCCGACGCAACAGAACCAGCGTCCGCATATCCTGCACAAGATGCCTTTCTTGCGGTTCAAGAAGACATTTGTAACACGCATGAGTCTCTGGGATGGCTGGATCCTGTGCATGGATGAATCCATAGCAGGTCAAATGCTGCCGAGTTCTGCAGAAAGCGCATTGGAGCTAAATTCGAAGGTGGTGATTAATGATGTTTAGCTTTACATTCTTATTATACACTGAGGATATCAACGTACCATGTCGCGATTCTCTGAATTCGATCCACACTCGCAACGGACCACGTCAGGGTTGATATGACCAGAGTGTCCCTTGTTCTGATCGTAATGAAGTGAAGTTTCACCGGAGAACATCTGGTTCCGCGCTCCTAGCTGGGACAGCTTGACTTGGGAAAGCTGTGGCTTTGCTGTTGCAATTTGGAGGCAGTCGGGATTCCTCTGAGTCGGAATAAAATCGCTGTCAGGGGTTGAAGTTACGGGCTGCAGGATAGATATTTGAAGTTAGCTACCTCAATTTCCAACAGGTACTACCTTATAACTTTTCAAAAACCGTATAATGTAAATACCGGAATCATCTTCTGTAGATCTTTCTTAAAAGCTTCATCTTGGCGGGTCTGGGTCGAAACCTGGCTACTCCCTATTTAGAGCTCATAACTGTCAGTTTCCATATCTAACAGTAACAAGTAGATCCGCGGTGCAACGAACCCTGAGTCGACAATCCAAGGTCCTGAACAGCAACATCCATCTCGCTAATACCAATGTCTTCATCACGGCGAACTCTATTGCTATACCCAATATCCGCTGGGATTTCTGGCACATATTCCGAGCTCGGGTAGTCCGTCCCAGACCATTTCAAAGAACTAATCTTCAGCCCAACACTTTAAGCACAAAAGGAATTAGCACGCCCTTCATCATGTCGCACCAAGGCAGATAAAAGGGGGATGGAAATATGTATCATATATTACCTGTGGATCCCCGTCTCCATAGCACCACACGATTGTGTTTCCCTGGACCACATCTCATTCTGCGCAAATAATAGATCGTTATGCTCTGCTGCCTTAAATCCAGGCGGTTCGTACCCGGGAGGAGAACCGTCAGTGTAAAAGAGATGTAACTCCATGTACCGTTCATCTGATGAGCCCAAAACCTTTAGCAATAGGGCACTAACTGTTGAGAGAAGAAAAAAGAAAAAAAAAAAGGAATATTGTTTTATGAACATACTCGGCAGCATAGGCAAAAACGCGCTCAGCGTAATCAAGCGGCGAACAATCATCTCCAAACCATGTCGTGCCGTCTTGACAGTTTTCATATCCGCCGTACAACCAGTCGATTCGAGGGAGACGCTCGCCAACTGCTTGCCGACATCATCGCCGCCGTCCTTTTGTTTACATCCACCCCCGCCCGTAGCTGCAGGTGTATACTTAAAGGTGAAAGTATAACTTTCCAGCACGTGCGAGGACTTCGTCTTATCGACGAAGATGGTCATCTGCAAAGCTTCCAGAAAGTTTTTCTCAATGGCGTCGAATATTCCATGTTCCTGGGGATCAAAATACTAAGTTAGTAGCAGGGTCAAAAAAAAAAAAAAAAAAAAAAAAAAAAAAAAACTTAAACGGAACAACATAAGGATAGAATGACATGAAGAAAAAAAGTTTCTAAACGCACAAGAAGATCAAGCAACTTATCCGCCTTGGGATTCTTGCCGCGCACAATAATCTTCAATGGCTGCGCTCGTCTCTCATGGGTATTTCTATTAATATTATTATTCGAAGCAACAGGTCCTCCTTCGACGAAGTTCGCGTATGACACGTATGAATTCGGTTTCGAAAGCTTCATGAGATCGCGCTCATCGAAGCAGTCCAGCGGTAAAAACTCCCTAGAAAGAAGAGGCAAAGAAAATATCACGAGGGAGTAAGTAAGTGGCTATGGAAGAGTAGATAGAAAGGAAGTGGACACATATATTTTCTTCCTCCCGTCGGCGACGTCACGCGCGTCTACTATTTTTCACAGGATCGATGACTTGAGGGAGAACGGCGAGTTCTTACCTGAGGTAGAACAAGGTGCCAAACTGGGTTGTTGCAGGGGGTAAGAAGGGGTGGGAATGTGTTAGCCAGATAAGCAAGCTCCCTCTACAGCCACATAGTAGTACCAGGGGTGATAAGGGGGTTAAAACTAACAGATGCATGAAGCATGATTTGGACCAAGGCCAGGCTCTGAGCCTGTTTCACACCCTGGGCATGCTGTTGTTGCTGTTCTTTCTGGACTGAGGCCTGCATGGCAGTTGTAGTACTCACAGCAGGCATCCTGGATGCCACTTCAGTTCCAGTGGCCTGCTGGACTGCACCAGTGAAAATGATGCGTGCCATTTGTCTGATGGAGTCTTGATGAAGTTAGGGGATAAATGAAAGAATAGTATAGGTTAAGAGAGTGATGAGTGATGAGGATGCTGAGTGTTGAAGGTGTTGGGGAACACTTGAAGTCAGGACAAGTTTGCCGCAGAGGAGAGATTTTTTAGCATAGCAAGAGAACAGGAAGTGGATTGAGCGATGGAATTCCAGCCTTTCGAAGGGAATTAAGGATCTGGTAAAGGAATGTGGGATGGGGGATGATATTGAACAGCGGCTGGGGTAGTGAAGGGTGTGAAAGGTGAAGGTAGAGGAGATATAGAAGACTGAGGAGAAAGGAGTGTGTTGTCATGGAGAAAGCTGGCAGGAATCTATTTATACTGATTGTTTAACCACCAAGACAATCAGAAGAAAAGTGGAATGAACAACATAATAGATATGTCAAACAATTTTTGAAATGCAATCTTCTTTTTTAGACATAATAAAAACATTTGTGGCCTTTATGTTTCAAAGAATAGTGTCCTTTTCCAATATGGATTGTCTATTAGAGTAAATAGAAAGGAATACCGGAGTTCAAAGCCAGACATAGGCTTTGATGCGCTATTAATCTATATTTTTGCATCTAAATGAGAGAGGTAACTGAATCAAACACAGCAGTAACCGTGAGTGATATAAGCACACGCAGAAAGGTGCAATAAAATACAGATAGTTGCTGGAACCAGTACAATATCAAACCAGGCACGCTTCGACTGCAAGGTTAGGCATTTTCGCCACGCCATTCAGCCAGAGAGAAACCGTAAGAGGATGAAATTGCATAGCATATTGGATTCACAGAATGGCAGAGATGTGAACAGGGCGATTTCTAGATAGAAGAAACATGGAGTGGAGGATATCAAAGAGAAAACAACTGATGCAAGATGATATACATTGTGATATCAAAACCACTCTGTATGCATCAATAGGGACATATACATGAAGAACTGGAAAGAAAAGGCCCATTGACGTGTGATGCGATATGATATATAGAGAGGGTCGAAAAAGACTCGTGATTTCCTCACCCTCCAGGGCGGCGATTTTTCTATTTCAACAGAAATGGGATAGAACATTAAACAAGCGCAGGAGGTTTGATACATTGATCAAAAAGAGCCCAAGGGAAAGTAAATAGGGAGTTCCTTGGTGGTATCAAACTTTGAGGGGCAACGCGTTGAGCAGCCCTGTAGGTTCCTGGGGATTAATTATATCTGGGGTCAGATATAATCTGGATGTGTATCTCTGAGCTATGATCTGGATAATAGCCACAGCTGTAGTCTGATATCCAGTAAATCAATATCCGTGTAAGGTAAGTCATAGTCGGTTGGTTAACAGTTTTCCAGGAAAAAAATAAACAAAGGGAATATCTTCGGGAGCAGCTCGGTTGGAGATATCGGGGTGGCGACCAAAGATCCAACCGCCGTCACCCAACCTTAATAAAAACACCTTGAAGGACCGGGGCGAGAGACCAATGGGACAAAAGCGAATCTACATTAATCCTATACATAAGGGCAGATTTGATTTGAGGACCAGAATGAGGTTGACCACTCCCATGATATGGTGTATGTGTAAAGATGCCTGGAGGTATGTAACTTAAGTAGGCAGGCGCGTCTACCTATATACTCCATACATACATACATACATACACAACAACACGAACCCGTAGAGAAAGCAGAGATGTGTGGAGGCAAACACAAAGCAAAGACATTCAATTCAATACAGAATGGAATGAGACTGGGATGGAAACAAACGTGCATGCCAAGTCAGCGTAGGCGCCGGGTCTGGGGCTGAATTTCAGGTACCTTATACCTTAACAAGAGCCTAGGAAAGCAGTAGTTGAGGGTACCAGATACTTACAGAGCAGACAGGCCCCGAATCGGTGCCCCCACCACGCGTATAGCCAGGGAGGATTCCAAAGTTACCGTACAGGACGTATTGGCCGTACCGACGATTCTAGCTAGCCTAGTAATAATGTATGTACTGTACAACAGTATTGGATTGGTATATTGTATGGCAGTTCACTTCAAGTCACTTCCAAGGTAGCAATGCAGCAAGCAACCACGTCCGTCCGCCGTCACGTTCCTCACCCTGTCCTGTCCTGTCCTCGCTCGTTTGTATCTCTTCTCCTCTCTCCTCTCCTCTAATTCTCTCTTCGTCTCTCTCCTCTCCCCTTGCTGCTGCTCTCCCGCAACCCCAATAGTAGAGCAGTAGAGCAGTAGAGCAGTAGAGAAACCAACACCAGCATAGCATCCCCCCGATACCTACCCCTCTTCCTTCTCTCTGTTGTGATATACTCCGGCTGTTGTTTTCTTCTGGTGTCGTCCTCTTGCTCTTCTTCTTCCCCTCTCTACTACTACACTTCCTTCACTTTTTTCCTCTCCTCCTTATCTGCACCCCAAGGTGCTGCATTCTCGTTCCATTCTATTGCCTCTTCGCGGGTTTTGGTTTTGATCTATTAGATTTCTACCTTCTCACTCTCCCAGTCCTGCCTTTGCTGCCGTACACAAATCTGGCGGGCTATTTAACTCGATAGATAGCTTAGGCTTCATACTCTCCACGACCAACCTGCCAACCGCAAATACCTTTGTTTAACCCCCTCTCTTTACGGCTCATATATCCCCTTCACTACTACTACTACTACGCGTCGAGGTTTGCTCGTCCTTCCTTGACTGAGCTGTTGGCCCGAACCCTGGGACCTGGTGGACCCAAGAAGCCGTACTCGTCCGGCTACCATGATTTGATTGCAAGGAATCTGAACAAGCTGTAACAAGTCCGTTTAATGTTGGAGCTTGGTACCCTGGGTGTCAATACGGCCTCTGGAAGTGTCTCTGCGAGCCCATTTGCTTTATCTCGAACGGCGATGCCCTGCCCGTGTGCGAGCCCCAACGATACAGCAGACTCTAGTTCTAAAACTCTGTCCCGGAACGCGTCTGTCTCGCCAGTACAGTTCCCCGAACCCTCCTCATCATATAAATCTTTTCCAGCCAGCTTCGAACACCCTGCAAGTTGCGATGGGAAGATGGATCGTTCAGACCGTGTAGATCGTCTTCCCTCAAACAGTTCGGTCGGCCAATTTTCTTTCGCTCCTGCCACCCAAACTACTGTCATCACAACAACTACAACGACCACTACAAAATTCCCTCCGCTGGTCATGAAGACCCCCGGTTCGTCCAGACCTCTTGACCCCAAAATTTACCCTCTAGCTGCTACCCCGACGCCTGATTCGATAAAAGATATCCATTTTGAGCTTGGGGACACTTCAATCGTCTTTAACGAGTCCGAGGATTCGTCAGACACTTTCGAAAAGGTGAGAAATTCCGTTGGCCCTGCCCGTCCATTTATTCTCAACGGAACGGGTAAATCGTGACTACTTTTGCGTCTATATGGGTAAAAACTCCCATTCCTGTTTGTTACTAACATGTCAAATAGTTGAAACAGCAGGCTGAAGCCCTAAGGGCATCTGACGGGGTTATCCGGTCTATATCAACTTATGAGTCCCGAAAAACCGCTCTACCTAGGCGCTCACGTCCCGCAGAAGACCCACGCCAAAGGCTGAGACGACGACCGGTATCACCGATTTCTCTACCCGAATCTTCCCATGAAATGAAGCGGACGCGTTCTGCAACCGCTCTTGCAGCAGACTCCATCACCCGTCGTCGTAACGCGCAGTCACACTTGGACGCTGCTCGACTCAACAAGGACGTTGGTTTGGCCACGCCAGAAACAGAACATAACAGCTTCAATATGGGTAAAGACCAGAGCAACCGTCGACGAATCTGCAGCTTAGGGTCTTTTGGAAAGTCGTCTTTCGAATATTCACCCGGATCCTTGGCGGAAGAAAACCAAAAGCTTCTCAGCCCGTTGCCGCACTCGCGCAAGGACAAGGCCGCCCAAGTCCAGAGATCACCATTATTTGAGCGTCGAACTGGATTGAATACCGAGGAGCTCGTAGGTCAATCGACATCCAATGATAATATTAATAGTAATGGGAAGCAGCTGGGTGACGATGTAGAACACCCTGTGTTAAGACGTAGACGCTGTTCTGCTGCGACTTCGGTCAAGCGGGCGTCTCAAGTACCGACTAGACGCCTAAAGGCCGTTGATAGTCTTGCTGCCCAAGATATGTCCCTTCCCAGCCCAAGTCTTTCCCCGGTCACGGCTATGAATGCTCAAAATCTCGACACGTCTTTCGATTCTGCTGAAGAGCAGGAGAGTGACACGGATTCTAGTCTTGACCACTGCTCAAAAAAGCAGAAGGGCTCTACGGACTATGTTCTTGCTAAAGGCCGCTTTGGGAAAGACGAAGGTAGTATTGCTGATTCATCGTCGCCAGCTTTGTCTTTGATGGATATGCCTTTGATGTTGGATTACTTCGAGTCAGTCCCAGATAAGCTAAAGTCGTATATGATATACCAGCTGCTGCGAAGATGTCCAAAACCAACGTTACGCTTTGTGGCTGGCGTCGTCGATCCAGCTCTCAAATGCGATTTCCTAGCTCTTCTCCCGCTTGAGCTCAGTCTCAATATCGTCAAGTACTTCGACGTTAAAACTATGTGCCGGGCTTCGCAGGTTTCGAAGAAATGGAGGCACATTATTAACTCAGATGAAAAGTCCTGGAAAGAGCTTTTCGAGACGGCTGGGTATGTTTTACCACGCGGGGAGTTGCATCGTGCTATTGAGGAAGGCTGGGGATGGCAATGCCCGAACCCAGGAGATGAGGAAAAGGACCTTCGATGTTCTACCGCTCTTAAATCCGATAGTGAGAACTCGTCTGCGTCTACGTCATCCTTGGCATGGTTATCGTCGCGGAAAACGAGACAGAGCCTAGGCCCTTTGTCAGCCGGTTCCCGACGACCCAAACGAAAAGCGACGACCAGGGTTACGAGTCGAAAGCTTGCGAAAAGGAAATCTGGAGTATCCTCTCAAGCTGAGCATCTAGAGTCTATTGGCTTGATGGACGACTTGATCGCTGCGGAAAGCCCGTACGCTGCTGCGAATGCAGCTGCATTGGCAGTTCCGTACCCTGAAGTTGGGCTACCGTCCCTACGAAGCTTGCACCTCTACAAATCACTCTACCAGCGACATCATCTCATCCATAAGACATGGATGCGAAACGACGTCAAGCCCATGCATATCGCTTTCCGTGCCCACGATCGTCACGTCGTTACTTGCTTACAATTTGATACTGACAAAATCCTCACTGGAAGCGATGATACCAATATTAACGTATACGATACGAAAACGGGGGCATTAAGAGCAACCCTTGAAGGTCACGAAGGAGGTGTCTGGGCGCTGGAGTATCATGCGAATACACTTGTTTCGGGATCTACGGATAGGTCGGTCCGCGTGTGGGACATTGCAGCTGCTGAGTGTACCCAGGTTTTCCAAGGACATACTTCCACTGTGAGATGTTTGCAAATCTTGTTGCCTGTTGCAATTGGAAAATTACCAGATGGAACGCCAAACATGATGCCAAAACATCCGTTGATTATAACCGGTTCCCGAGATTCGAGCCTGCGGATTTGGAGACTTCCCCAACCGGGAGATCCACGCTATTTCGAAAGTGGATCCGACGCTGAAAACCCCTACTTCGTTCGTGCCCTGACCGGCCATCAACATTCTGTGCGCGCTATCGCAGCCCATGGCGATACCCTAGTTAGTGGAAGTTACGATTGCACAGTGAGAGTCTGGAAAATATCTACTGGAGAGGCGCTTCATCGCCTTCAAGGCCATACCTTGAAAGTTTACAGTGTGGTTCTAGATCACAAAAGAAACCGCTGCATTAGTGGATCCATGGACAACATGGTTAAAATTTGGTCCCTCGAGACAGGTGCGGTTTTGTACAACCTTGAGGGACATGCATCCCTCGTTGGGCTGTTGGATCTTCATTCAGACAAGTTGGTATCAGCCGCAGCTGATTCCACGCTCCGGATTTGGGATGCGGAAAACGGACAGTGCCAGAGTGTATTTAGTGGCCATACTGGCGCCATTACCTGCTTCCAACATGACTACCAGAAAGTAATCTCTGGTTCTGATCGGACTTTGAAGATGTGGGATGCTCGAAGCGGGCAATTCCTCAAAGATCTACTCACTGATTTGAGTGGAGTTTGGCAAGTTAGGTTTAATGATAGGAGATGCGTTGCTGCTGTCCAGCGAAACAGGTTGACCTATATCGAGGTACGTTTCTTTTCTTTTTCTTATCTTTTGAAGAATAGCGATTCCGATTTATTTTAGCGCTTGGCTAACCCATATGTCGCAGGTGCTTGACTTTGGTGCATCTCGTGACCGCATTCCTGCTGAGCGTCTGGGAACGCGCATCGTCGTCGATAGAAATGGGAAAGAAGTTGTAGAAGATGAGAGCCTAGCAGAACGCGGAAGCTCAGACATCTAACGCCTAGACCTGTGTTGTTCACCATTTTAGCGGCCCTAACCTTTATAAAGTTACCTCAAACAAGATCCTTCTATCCGCCTATGACTACCATCTCGGTTCGTTCTTGTCGATATTATTGTTATTATTCTTTCCGGCACGATCACTATTCAGGATCGTTGCTGTCTCTCCTTGGGTCCCCTTTACTCCCCAAGCCATCAACGACCTTTAGATACCAAAATATTAAATACCAAATTTACAACCCGACCACGTACGACTCAACGAAGACAACAAAATATTACTTTTCGGGGAAATCATTGCTTATCTTGGGCTTGCCTTGTCGCATTGCTGCCCCATATTCGCCTTCTCTCGGAGGAAAGGTGTAGTATCACGGCGAGTGAAAGCTCCCAGGGGTCAAGGGCAAGGCAAAATCCCTAGGATCATATCACTTTCCATCACGTTATTTGACCAATGACCAATTCCTCTTATCTTCCACTTTTTTTCTCCTGCAAAAACTATTCTTCATTCCGTCGCTTTCAAACATACTTTTACATTGTATTGCGCATTTGCATCTTCTTTATCTTCTTGTTCACTTTTTGCCTGATTCACGATGACTATCATGTATATCTAGTCACAATGTTTTAGCATGCCTTCTTGTTGCTTCTTTTCTTTCTTCAGGGATACCATACCTCCTATTACTCTTATCATAAAATATCTTTGCTTTTCTTCTCCCTTCATCCTTCTAATAAACATCTTCTGTGCATGTTTTTATTCTTATATTTTCCCCCATTGTTTTTGTTATTATGAAACGTCTTTGTTTGTGTAATGTGTCCGAAATCGTCATGTTTGTGGGAAAGGGGGGTTATTTTATTCGAGGCACACACATGAAAACACTTCTTTCAACGCGAGCGTTTCGCTTTATTTTGTTCCTTCTCTCATTTTCAACCCAGGGTTTTCCAAAGGTTAGGTAGCACTCGATTTGCAACAGTTATTTTATTCCATTATTGGAAGGCCTTGTGTGAATATTTACTGTACAAAGTATACGTTTGGGGTAATATAATTTCTATTTTTTTTTTTTTTTTTGTTCATTTTATCATTTTTCGAGGTACGTATGCCGTACGGTACGTAGCTTTCTTTGTTTTGTGTAGGAGCTAAGTTCTATTTATTTTATTGAAATGGATGTTAAAAATGTAGTCTTTTGAGGTTCTATATAAGTACAGCGTATCCAAAAAACAGGGAACAGCATCTCCAATAGTGGTACAGATGGTCTTGTGGGGGGTGAATGTGAAATAGGGGAAAAAAAAAAACAAGTCCCAGAACACCAAGTATAGCCAAACTCGCTAATAAAAAAAAAATACAACAACCCATCTACAGACCATACTCACCATTCCCAACCCAATCTAACCATCTACTAATCTAGCCCCTCATCCGCGCTTGTTGGCCCCCGCAATCCCCGTACCATCCGCACCTCCACCACCCCTTCCCGCCCCAACCCCAACCCCAATCCCCAACCCCACCGCGCGCAGAATCGACCACCGAATCGGATCAACTCCAAGACACCCCGCCTCATCCTTCATCTTCATCGAGCAGGCCAAAATCTCCCCGAGCGCCGGCGCCCCCAGCTCCGGCCGCTCCTCCTGCTCCTCGACCCCTTCATCCTGCCCTTCCTGCAGCTTCTGCTTCTGCTTACTCGTGCTCCCCACGTTCCGGACAGGTTGCACGCGCGTTGCGCACCTTGTCGGCGAAGCGGCAGAGCTCGTCGATGCGCTCGGGCCGGAGGCCGCGGGCGCCCCGCTTCTGGCCGCCCTTGATGAGGACGGAGTCGGCTTTGGAGAGGATGATTTGGTGCGGGACGGCGTTGGCGCGGAGGAGGGAGAGGATGGCGGCGTCGGCGGCCTTGATGCCGTGGTGCGAGTTGATGAGGATGTAAGTGCGGCGGAGTCTGTGGGATGTGGTTTTTTTTTTTTTTTTGTTTGGTTAGTGAGGGTTTTTTCCTTTTTTTTTTGTATATGTATATAAGTATGGGATACGCACTGCTTCCTCTTCGTCAGGTACTTAAGAATCTCCTCCCCCCACTCCTCATTACTCCCCTTCCCATAACCGGGCGTATCAACAAGAACAACCTTGGCCTCCCCGCCCTTCTTCCCCCCAATCCCATACGCATTCAACGTCGTCGTCAGCCCCAACGTCGCCGATGTAAAACACATATTTTTCTCCATAATCGCATTCAGCAACGACGATTTGCCCGAGTTCGAGCGGCCCAGGAACGCTACCTCGGGCACATCGGACATGGGTATCGTGCGGAATTCGCTGGCTGTCCACATCCGGATGGGCGAGTGGTTGGACGCCCTGAAGACGTCGGCGCTGTGTTGGAGCTGTTGGGGGGTTGGGGCTAATGTATCGTAGTAGAAGCAATAGTCAAATAAATCGAGTTGGGCGGGCGGTGTAGAGGCTGCGAGCTTAGTACCGGGTATTTGTAGCGGTCGTTCCGCGACCCTGAGGAGGCTTTTGACTGTGTTGGTTGCAGATTTGGCGGCGGCCATCGTTGCCGTTGTTGTGCACTACCGGTGGGTGCTATGGATTTGTCGGGAGGACCAGGAGGTGTTTATGAAATTAGAGGATAGAATGCTGGGATATATTGGGAATAAAAGGGTGTACTGTGGCTGTAATTCTTCAATTGGACAATTTTCGGCGCCCGGCGTGGAGCTTTGAATTTTCAGCTGTCACTCTCAGTATTCCAGCCTACCAATTGGCTAACCACCGCCTATTACGAGTGTATGGTAATCCCGCGGAGGTGGGTGTGGTGGCTAGTTAAGTTTGATGATGATTCGATATTCCCTCTACTCAGCGTAAGATCAGTGAGAATTAGCACCTGATTAATTATTAATAAGAATTTGCTACCGTGCGTACCGTACCACGGGCCAGGAAGCAGAAAACTTGACCTCGCTAAGTGCGCCACTTGACCTCGTTATGTAAGCTGACCTTCCAAATGTTGGCCTGTACCTGACCTCCCACAATACATCTTTTCTTGTAATTTGAAACCACTCTTTCTTTCTTAATTATTTACCATCAATTCTATAATCAATTCTTAATTATATAAATATTCACTTCAATTACTGATTTTCACACTTTCTCTTTCTTTTCTTCTCTAACATTTTTTACTTTATTATATAAGATCTATAAATATCATACTGATCTATTCAGTGTAGATCTCTTATACTTAAAAAATATTTATTATCTTCTTATTAGAAATAATTATTCATTGAGAAGATATCTGAATACATAATAATATATAAGAAATAGAAAATAATTAAATAGTTAAGTGAATAATAAGTTCTCAGATAAAAGCTTACTTATCAGTTACTCTGACTCTGTAATAAGATTTTATAAGAGAATATCAGTGAAAGATCTGAGAGTTTTAATACTTTAAATATATAAGATATTTATATAATTACACTTCTTCAGACTTTATAGATATTACACATTCAATGAATAACATGTCTAATAACAATATAAGAGAACTTTTAAATATATGTATAGAAGTAATATCACAGTGACTTTAAATAATGTTAAAATTACAATAGTAACAGATAGTATTAGCAGATATATATACAACTTAATAACTTGAATATAAGAAAATTCAATAATTAACTTAACAGAGAACTCATGCAACTTTAACATCTATAGAATTAAATATAAAAGTGCTGAAGAAATGCTTAAATACTCTTATATATTTTAATACTTTCAATCTCACTCTCTACTCATCATGAAGAATGAAAATGCTTGTAAAACTGAGTATAGATGAAAATATTATCAGTTCATTAATTAATCAAGATTAATATATCAATGAATAATTAAAGAATTATATAAAATAGAAGTTTTATTCATGAATAAAAGCATGTGAACTTATATTACAAATATCTGATAATATTATTAAATATTTTAATATTCTGTTCTAAGATACTATTATATAATAGAAAGTATTAGATTAGTTATAGAGTGTTTAACAGAGAAACACTTCTCTTATAATATTCATTTCTGACTTTGACACTCAGATCTTAGAAGCAGGTGATCAATCTTGAGAGAATTAAATGAAAATTAGTATACTTAAGAAGATATTGACTTTTAAACTCTTACAGACTCTTATAAGTGTAAATAAAGACCTAACTTATAAAGGCTTCTGTACACAGCTTTAAACATTGAATAACTATCTTATCAAGCTCAAAGATATACAGAACAGTGATAGAAAATATTACATCTCAGTCACTTATATATTTATATCTGTACTAAAGAATAATAACAATAATACAGATGCTATGAACTGAGTGAACTTAAATATTTATATATAAGCAAGAGTCTCTGCTGTCTGAATCAGCTTCTGAGTTTCTGAGATCACTTCTGAAGAAGTCACTGACTGATGTTAATATAAAGTATATATCAACTGTAATTAATCAGAATACATTGCTTTCAACTGCTGATTAATCTCTATATCTTCTCACTTAAGAGAAAGATTAGTGTCTTCTTACTTAAAGAATGAATCAGTATCTGTCTATATTAATTACATTGCAGTGAAGAAAGATTCAGAAGATAATTATAATTATTATTATTATTATTATTCTTCAATTATAGATATATACAGTCAGAGACTATAATACCTATCTGAGAATCTTTAGTTCTCAGAGTTTTTTCTATATCTATAGAGTCAACTATTATACATTTACTAATTTCAGATATGTAAAATCAGAAAATTTCAGCTCAGAATACAAAAACTGTTTATAAATTTCAGTATTTTAACATCTTTTAATACTTTGAAATTATTTGAAAATATCATGACAAAGAAAAACAAAACATAGTCTTAAAGATAGATATATTAAATAGATAGATAGAAAAGAATAGAAAGAAATAAGTACAGTAAAGAGAGATCTATAGAACAAGATCTCTACAGTTTATATCTTAAACTATATACATATTTTAACACTCTATATAACTGACTGCTATCTCTGTTCTCTCAGATCTGCTTCAGAAATTATTATTCTCTCTAAAGAGTCATCATCTAGCTAGCTTCTGTAACTAGCTTATTTATAAGTGAGATTCTCACTAAGAATAATATCAGAGCTACTCAATTCTAGTTAAGTCTCTAATCTTTCAGCTATTAATCTCAGTATTTCAGTCTATCAATTGACTGTCACAGTCTTGCTTATATTAATCATCTATTAAGAGTGTCTAGACCTTGTCTTATCTAGATTCTTACTAGACCTGAGATATTCTAATTAAATAGTTTTTAAATGTCAATTCTCTGAAAGTGAATACCTAGAGTCAGAGAGATAAGATCTGATCAGTTAAGCTTGATAATAATTTACTATTCTACAGACACTCTAGATCTCAATCACTCTAGTACTGATCTAACTTAAAGTGTCTGAAAAGCAGTTAATTCTAAGATCAGTGAGAATTAGCACTCAGAAATCTCTGAGATAAATATCTTAAGCTTGATAATGATTTACTATAGTGTATCTGAGAGTCTCTGATACTGTTTTATAACTTAACAGTGAAAGCTGTGATTAAGATAACTATTGCAGAGTTTGAACCTGCTCTCTCTTGACATTCATTCCCCGGGGGGAAGGCCGGTAATTGAGGCTTCATAGTAGCGTAGTTAACTACTACGCCACCGGGCCAGAAGATAACTATAAGAACACTCTGATAAAACAAAGAAAAGATTAGCTTCTGTTCAAATTTATAAACAGAAGCTTGAAGAGATTGAATAATAACAATTTGAAGAAAAGATAATAATAAATGCAATTCTTATATCTACTGTGATAAATAACATGTATAATATAAAGATCATGATAAATAGCAGTCTATACTACTATACAATAATTAAATCTTCAGTTATAAAATATTATAATCTTCAGTGTATTCTCTTATTAAAATCTCAACTTCTTACAGAATCTGATAATTCAAAAGATGTTTGCATCTGTTACATAGTGAAACTAAATATAGATGTTAAAGAATATTAACATAAAGATATCTATGCATATGAAGTTGATAATCTCAATTATAATTTTATATTAGAACTTGCCTGACTATCTGAATAAGGCATTTTATTGAATACTTAAAATAGAAGCTTGATATTCTCTAACAATAATAGAATTTACAAAGATGATATTTACAAGACTATGAATCTTACACAGATCTCTGTTAACACTTATAAAATACTTCAAAACAGAGATCATTATTAAAATTATTAACAGAGTCACTGATAAAATCATCAATAGCAGAATTATATATTAATCTATTTCATCAGTCTGACTGATATTAAGAAAGCTCTAGAGAAGTTATTCTGTACTATAATAACAGATTCTTATACAAAACTTCTTCAATAATATCATAAATATCTAGATATCTTCTGATAAGATAACATTATAAATTTACCTCTCTTATGAGGTTCAGAAATAGATTATAGTATCAAGTTAGAGAAGTAGAACAGTAAGAACTCTTAATTATTATGAGACTCTCTTTATAATATATCTTGAGATAAACTTCTTCTTCTTCAGAAGACACTTAATAATCTGTTGAATAAGAGATTTATACATGTTAGTAACTCTTCTGCTGTGACTTCTATTCTATTTGCAAAGAAATCAGATAAAGAACTTCAATTCTGTGTGAACTATTGAGATCTGAACAGATTGATAAAGAAAGATCATTATCTCTTATCTCTTATCAATGAAATCTTAGCATGTATCAGATAAGCTCAATGATTTACAAAGTTAGATATTATCACTGCATTTCATAAGATTTGTATCACTGAAGAAGATGAATAACTTACAGCATTTCAAATATATTATAATCTCTTTGAATGAGTAGTCACACTCTTTGAACTGATCAATGCTCTCAGTATATTTCAGAAGTATATTAACTAAGCACTCTGAGACTTTCTTAATGAATTTACATTTACTTATCTAGATAACATTCTCATCTTCATTAATGAATTCAGAAAGAAATATCAAGAGTATGTGTAAAGAGTATTACAACAATTACAAGAAGCAGAACTATTAATTGATATTAACAAGTGTGATTTCAAAGTTAAGAGTACTAAATACCTAGGTTTCATCATAGAAGCTGGCAAGAGAATTCAAATAAATTCTGAGAAAATCTCTGTCATTCTCAAATGAAAAGCTTTACACACTGTAAAAGATGTACAAAGCTTCATTGAATTTACTAACTTCTATCAGTGATTTATACAAAACTTCTAAGATATTATGAGATCACTTACAGAACTTATCAAGAAGAACTCAGTATTTCAGTGATCAGTGAACACTGAAGCTGCACTTACACAGATAAAGAAGATATTCATTAATATCTCTTTACTGATAACATGTGATTCTGATTATAAGACAGTTATTGAAGCTAATTTCTCTGACTATGTCACAGAAGAAGCTATATTATAATATAATAATAAAGATATTCTACAATTATGCATCTTCATATCTAAGAAACTGAGTTCTGCTGAATGCAATTATGAGATCTATGATAAAGAACTTCTTATAATTATACACTATCTAGAAGAATAAGACTCTGAACTCTGAAGTGTCTTCAAATTTGAGATAATTACAGATTATAAGAATTTCAAACACTTCATCATCACTTATAAGCTTACAGAATGACAGATGTAATAATCTGAGTTCTTAAGCTGCTTTCATTTTACAATACACTATCAATCTGGCAGTCAGAACTCAATGACAGATGCTCTCTTACAATGAGAGTAAGATATATCATCTGATATAATAGATACTCACTGAATGAACTGAGAGCATCAGCTTTTAAATTCAAAGATACTAGTTAATCAAGATGAAACAGCTCATGACACTATACATACTTCTTCAATTAGAACTGTCACTGATATCTCAACTTCTTTCAAATCTATATTAGACGA